GGCGCAGTCACCCGCGAGCCACGCTCCTCTTTCAGACCGGTGCCACGAACACCAGCACACTCACTCGCGGCTTTGATGAAGCTCCTTTGAAACTGGTACATCATGAGCGGCCCCGGAAGCATTCTGGAAGATAAAACGGCACCATGCACAAGAGTGAGCAACACGATCCACAGAAATCAAGCTTTGCCCTTGCCATAAATTCAGCTCCACTTTCAGAAGTGCAGAATTAAGCAATGGCAACTCTAATTAACACCCCCCCATCGGAAGGAGTAAGATCCACTGCAGCATCTTTGATTTATTCTTCCTCCGTTTTCTGCACCACACTGAATTCATTTTTAATTTTAGCATTCCTTCAGCAACACAGAGTTTCAGTACATTAGTAAGCGCATGATTTCCAAGTAAGTTTAAAAATAAATTAAAAAGAGAAGCCAGCCTAGCCATGCCCGTGCCAAGCTGCTGCTAATAGCAGAGCAAGAGTCAGCCACCAGCTCTCGAGACTGCAGCGAACTTTCCAAATGCCAGAGCAAAACCGGTGCGGAGAGGGCCCCTTGCGTCAGCCTCTGATTTAGAACCTTACCCTTCTGTTTCCTCATTATCCCCAGATTATCAATTTTGCATAGGTTAACGCTGACAACCGTAACAGCCACCACGGGCTTTGCTCAGTGAACTTCTTAATGGTGGGAAAAGAACGGGGGATTGGAAGAGAAGAAGGAAAGACATTGAAAGTGAAACACAACAGATTAAAAATTTTAGCAAGGAGAAATACCCAGAGAAAGGAGCGCCAGCATTTTGTGAAGGCAAGGGAAAGGAAATCACGTTGCAAAGGAATGATCATTAGCAAATGGGAAGAGGAAGACGACCACAAATGTCGCTCATTTCCCCCAAGGAGCAGCAAACACCTTCATAAGGGCACTAACAAATTATTAAACACTTGCTTCCCCGTTATTACACCTATTTCACACGTGGTTTTGCCAAGTCTGAGAAGGATGAGCTAAAACTTTAACAGTCACCGTTCCCACTGAGCTCCCCATTCTCCCCTCCCACTTCCACGTCCCTTCCATGGGATGTCCTGGTGCTGCCGACATTCTTCCTTGCTTTGCAAACAGTTCAAACTCTGGAGCAAAGGCTGCCAATCGTGCAAAATTACGTTGTGTTTTGTGATTTTCTAGGCTGAGATCCACCGAGCTAATTACACTCATCACCCTAATTGGATTTAGCCTCTCGTGCTCTCCCTCTCTCTCCCTCCCAAGTAACCTGCTAGTTCAGGGTCTGCTCAGTGGCCCCCAGGCACAGCCAACCTCAGCACCAGCCTGGACCAAGGGCACAGCGAGCACAGGAGGTTGTGCTGGAGCAGCCAAGGCCTGGGAAGGCAGCGAAAAGACCAAGGAGGGGAGCGGCTCGCACTGCTTTTTGGGTCAGGTATGACTTACAAATATCTGCAGGGTGGGTGTCAGGAGGATGGGGCCAAGCTCTTTCCAGTAGGCTGCCCAGGGAGGCTGTGGAGTCTCCTCCTCTGGAGATATTCAAGACCCGCCTGGACAAGGTCCTGTGCAGCCTGCTCTGGGTGACCCTGCTTGGGCAGGAGGGTTGGACTGGATGACCCACAGAGGTCCCTTCCAACCCCTACTATTCTGTGATTCTGTGATTCTGTGACCCCTGGGCTGCAGCTGACGCAGCAGCCGGGCTCGGAGCCAGGCTACAGGCTCTCCAGCGCAGACCAAGCAGCGCGACCCAGCACAGGGCTTTGCATGGCTATGGGTGACAGAAACCCAACACCACCGACAAGGCACCGCTGCAGGAGAAGTCACCTGTAGCAGCCCTAGACCTGCCCCGCACCAGGAACAGCTCCCAGGCCACCCACAGTCACAAGACCTGTTTGCTCCCACACGTTTCGGTGACCGGATCAGGGAATGCTGGATCCAGGCACAACGGCACTTGCAGCAAACCCCACAGCCTCTCTCCTGCCATCAGCTCAGAGGTGGGAGAGGTTTCTGAGGGCTGCTGGGCAGCCGCAGGGTGGCTGCACCGGGTGGTCAGTGCTCAGAGGACCCCACCATGTCAGCACCATGCCCTGCCACACTGTGACGCGACGCCTTCGCTCACCCCGAGCACCTGGAACCGCAGGACCCGACGCCTCAGGCGCGGGGAGATGCACGCTGGGAAGGTCTGGGCAAGACCGTGTTACAACAGGCACAAGAAGGTCCAAGGGGAAAGCAAGAAGAGCCACAGGCAGCATGCAACACACAAGGCAAAATAATTAAAAAGTATTCTGGGAACAACGTGGCAGGTATTAGATTAAAAAATAAAGCTTTCAGCTATTTCTTTGAACATTTTAGCTTGCACTGGAGAAGGCTGCCAAAACTCGTAGCAGCTGTGAGCAGGACACCAGTGACTGCATCAGAACACCTTTAAAAGCAATGCCCCGCCTGAGTCCGACCTCAGCACCCTGCCATGGAGCCTGGGGCTCACAGTCTCTGGCAGCATGTGGCCCTCAGAGCACATTCACCACCGCCAGGCACCCCAACAAGAGCCTCCACTGTTGCCTGGCAAGACTTCAAAGCAGCACAATCTACTTGCCTTTAACAAAATGCGAGATACTTACCCATTAATATACTCAACAGCTTTTGAACTCTCGAGTTTACTCCAACGATTCGGTAGAGTCCTTGCTCATTGATCCCTAGGAAAAAGAAAAAAGCTTATTAGGAGAACGTCAAACGAGCTACTGACGTTTCTTTCATTTCTTTGGCTTCTCTAGCAGCAAAAATAATTAAACCCTCTTACCAACTACTTACAAAATTACAGAAAAGGGTAAAGTTTGGTTTTGATGTCAGAGCTTTCATGTATTGATTAAAAGTATTACCCCCAATTAGCTCAGTAATAAAAGATCCAAGGACATCTTTCCACCGCACCACTATCGGCGAGGGAGTACGGCTGCACCACTAAGGGTCTGCACTTCACATCAGCACAAGGGCAGGTCTGGAAAACTTCACTGTGCCAAATTCTTCGGGCTGAGGTTGGAGCCTTTCGCACGTGCTTCATGCAGGGCAGAAGACCCACCAAGCGACTTGCTTGGGCAGAGAGCAGCCAGCGACACGGCGCAGCCCCTTGCCAGGCTGCCTGCGCTGCACCTCCCCGGCTGGAGCACGCTGCGCCGTCCCCAGGAACCGCAGCAGCCTTGTTCGGTCTCATCTACCTCTTTGGTTCCTTTTTGCTATTTATTGGGTCCCATACGGCTTTTAAGCCGTGGCCTGGCTGTTACAGAGGGCTGTGGCTAGCATGAGGAGCTCCAGGTATTCCCCCTCTGCGGGATGCTGCAGCAGCCCAGCAGCTCCCAGGTGTTCCTTTGCTCTCCACAGCGGTTCCTGCACTGCTGCCCACGTTACAGGAGAACACGCTGCATCTGAACAGCCCACAACATCTTACGTTGCTGCTGGGCAGGAAGAAGCCCCCAGTGAAAGAACCACAGCCAGGTCAGAGCCCTGCCCAGCCCAACGCGTCCCGTGGCCTCCTCCTTACCCGGCGCAGGCAACGGTGCGCTCAGAAACGAGCTGCAAACGGGACCCGCGCTTGCCGGGAGGGGCTCGGCTGCCCCCCCGGCAGCTCCTCTGCACGCAAACGGGCTCCGCAAGAGACGTCGGGGCAGGACTGCAACGCCCGCCTGCCTGTTCTCCCGCGTGCGAGGAAGCGCCTTGCCCCGGTACCGCACCGAGGGATCTCCAGTGAAGCCCCCAGCTTCGGCCCCATCCCTCACCTTGCACACCCCGTGCTAACTCGGCCCCTGCCAACCCCGGCCCCAGGGCAAACGCACGCCTCAGCCAAGGCAGCCGCCCGCGCCTGCTGTGGGGTTGTCTGATGTGGGTCTCCGAGGGTCAACGAATCCTTGCGGGTTCGTGAAAGGAGCAGGTAGGCAACTGCTCCGCTACCAAGAGCTGCAAGGCCGTCCCCCAAAACCAGACCACCTGGCGAGCGGCTCTACCTCGTGTTTCGACAGCGTGTATGCATCTCTTGATAATGCTGAAGCCGATGTTATCCAACTGGGCAGCTGGAAGGGAAGAGCAGAGAGAAGCAATGAGCACCTCGCCGAGGGGCGGCTCCGCGCTCAGCGCAGCGCTCGGCCCGCAGCCGTCGCTGGCGCTCGCAGCAGCCCCGCACCCCTGCTAAGCGAGGCGGGGGGGGAGGGGGAGGAGAGAAATTAGGGGG